GATTTCGAGGCAAGAAGATACCGATGGTTTCGAAGCGATTATTTCTAAGAATTTTCAATGAACTTCATGTGCAATAGCTTGTTTTGGTTTACTCTTCATGATTCATCTACTCGAGCAGTATTTTCTGCACGAGCGAAGATCGATAAGGAGAACAGGGTTTCAAAAGTCAGAATTTATACGATAAGCGATACTGCAAATTCATTCAGAATGACAATATAGATATTCTTATAGCCTACATTTATGTATTTATATCAACTGTTTCGGCTTCAAAGTCTACTCAAAAACGAACATGAGATACATAGCAATATTTATTTTAAGATTCTTATTTGATTTAAGAAGCAAAATAAATAATTTGCTAACCACATTCCAAGGTTTGATCTTTGCCGTTCGAAGCGTTATGATCTCCTTTAATTTTTCTTCAAAAAAAAAAAGATGATTCATTAAAGAATATCGATAAATTATAAAATCATAAAATGTAAAGCAATTATGAGAGAGGTCTGGAGCAAATATTAGCCCGTATTTACGTTTTAAATGAAGCATTTTGATTTTAAAGCGAGCTATACAATGCCCGTGCAAATGTGCACGTTTATGCTCRAACAACCACCTAATTACGTAACCACCTAAAATCCGGACCGGAACTGGAATTGCAGTTCCAAATTGAGTTATTTATCAGTAGAGTGCATTCASTCAAACTGYTGAATAATGTACGTCACCTAAATTARATAAGTAAGTTAYTATTTTAGCTGACGTCACCTAAATTTGAAACTACGAGTAAACAGCTACTGAGATCAGGGRGAGAAACGATGATACAAATCAATGTTTATTCACTCATTCTCTGGTAAAACAACCCCCCGGATTAGCAWKACTGTTATTTGGCGCGCTTTTACTATTTTAGGTGACGTCAAYTAAAWAGTTATCTAAGTTAGATAMATTTATCTAACTAYTCAACARTTTGACTGAATGCACTCTACTACTTTATCAGTATTTTTGGAAGCTCAACCAACTAAATACTCCATGCATGTTGAAACCAGGTCCTCCACTCCCCCCTTCCAGGTATCCCAGTCAATGCTGCCTACAGCGTCTAGTTTAAATATCATATGCGACGCCGCGACAGGATTCATACTCCGCTGTTTTGCTGCACTTAATTCAGGAGTTAGGTTTGGATATGATTAGCGCGGAGWATGGAACGGGCCTTGGTTGCATTAAAGATTCGTTGTCAACCACAAACCACTGCGGTGCGGAAACAATTTAATGTTATACAATGCGTCATTTTCACTGATAGGCAAAATGGTGGTTTCGTAGGTGAGGTTCGGGAATCCATTTGCATCGGTTTTATTCCTCTAGATGTTGATATTATTATACATATACCCCATTCACACCTAAACGTGTTTAGTTAAACTATGTTTTCATTAGAAAAAAAATTGAGAAACTGGAAACCTACAATATAATGAAAATTTCTAAAATATTGTCACAGCAGGACAAAGGATAGTTTACATGCATTATTCACCAAATATTGTGCAGTGTTCGTAGATAGTTTTCCAAACCTGTTTAGTTAAACCAGTTTTAAGCATGTTTAAGTCTTGGTGTGAATGGGGTAATAGTCCTTATTTTTATGGTAAACTGACTTTCTTTTTCTTTCTTTTTTTTTTTCCCCTTCAGTTTTTGAAATAAAAAAGCGCTGAAACCGTCCTTTATTGCATCGTTTATTATTTTTAATTTCAAGACTGGGCAAACACAGTACTTTATCTCTTTTACTTTTGTAAATATTCTTTAGGATTGAAATTCAGTCTAAATCAAAAATAGAAATTGTATTTCATGCTCACGCARTCTGATAGTGCCAAAACTAAAAGACAGCAGCGCACTTCTTGAAGTATTCAAGTATTAATATCAATTTTCTATGTCACGATGAGCTGAATTTGGGMTTTTATTACTAAAGTTCCGTTGTTGAATCCATATATTTTCATTTTTTTCGTAAAATTGTTCATAAAAAAAGCAGAATTAAACAAGCTAGAAATTCATTGAATAAAGTCGCAGAAGGAGACGAAAGGAGCATTCAACATCTTACGTTACAAACACGACATCACGGCCACCGACCAATCAGCGTGCGTTTTTTTTAGCCCAGCTAGCAATCTGATGAACCAAGGATTTATTGAGAGATGGACTCGCCTAGTAATTTTYCCCCTGTCCAGAGCTTGGAAGAGATTCGACAACAATTAAGGCAAACGATGGAAACAGTGATAGGGACGCAGTATATTGTTGTTGACTTGGATTCATTAAATGTAGTAGGCACAGAACATTTATCAATAATATGAAGGCCTATCTTGAGAGTTTCGAGCCAGGGCATTAGTATGAGRATCGCCGTGAGGTTATAGGTAAAGATCTACGGCCTTCAATAGTTGGAAGACAAATACCCGTACCCAGGGCGGGGCAGATTAAAGTTTCGGTTTAGTTAGCATGCTTTCTTTTCCGGAATTAATCGATATTTATTTTGCATTTACAGAGAGAAGCAATAAAAACAGCTGATCAGCGGTCGGTATGTCTAGAAGCAGGCGTTGATATTGGTAATATTGAAGSCGTCGTGACTCAGAGCACAGTTCACACTTTAGCGTTAGCTGTCGATTCTTGGACAAGGGATGATAAAAGAAAAAATGAGACTACTCTGTTGTGCCACTATATCATTTGTAATGATACTAATGAGGCTATTAGACTGGGACAGGTAAGAAGAAATCTCCCTCTTAGGGATGAAAAATGAAACGCTGTTAGTTTTTAGCACGTCTCAAAAACATTTATCTTAAACCCCGTCAACACGTAACCGTTTTTGCATGAAAACGCAACTTTTTCTTTGTGGGTTGTCTTTCCATCCACACGTATCCGGCGAACACGATCACCGAAAACGAAACTTTTTAAGATAGTTCCGGACCTTTGCTACTGCGCATCCATTTCGCGCATCTCGCTTTTACAATAAGTTAGCGTTGTTTTRAAAATTTCTCCAAATAATATCTTACTTTAACTGCCTTTATGTAATTTGACAAAATATTTAATAATTTCATGCAAATTTTGAGGTAAAGCTGGGGTTTTTTTCGAAACATGCTAAAATTTTTATTGCCTGACCAGGTCGGTTTTGTTTCAAAATTGACAAATATACGACTTTGTTAAAATGAATTAACAAAAAATTATTTTGACGTCTTTAGTTCCAAAATCAGTTCAAAATAGGTTTTAGGGTCCCAGGAGATTACAAAGACAATTTCACAAGTTTCAAGGGAACGTACAAAGTACTAGACCCAGGTCCGCGCAGACAGGAATGGTCATTTTGGATGGAAAATTCCGATTTAGTCTCTTACTATAGCTCGTCTATTAGTACGGTGACCCCCTATTTTTTTCTTTGCATTCAAAGCTTTGAATATTAATCTTTCAGTGTGAGAAATTAAAATACTATGTCCTCGCTGTGAATCAAACCGAATTCTCGACATATATGTAAAACGATTTTACTTCTAGAATTCAGTTTGAAGCTTATTTACAACTCATCAAATAAATTTTATAAAATGAAATGGTAGATAATCTTAAGATCCGTCGTTTAGATTACTCTAGGCTTTTTGATCGTTGAAATCCTTCACTTTCCACACAAACCCTATGCGAAAAATTGGAATTACCCCCTATTAAGATCTCTTATAACTCGAGAACCAAGTCGGTAACCCCCACTTTTTTTACTGTTTTTGAAGCAACTGAAGACCTTTAAATGACAAGATTTAAAAAAAAAATCATCTATCCAGTACTACCTTAAGAACGCTTTCCAGGGTGGAAATTTTATAAAACGCTGTTTATCCGTATTCTTGTGGAAGGAAACTGAAACGRAACTTTTTGAAAGCGCTGACGCACGGTATTGGAACCAGTAAATATTCGAAGATCATCCCGATCCTAACTATGATAAGTTGCTAATTCCTTTCTCTTTTGAGAGATGTCTCGTATAAAAATGATTCTTGACGATTTTGCCGTATTCATCGAAGTAAAACCAGAAGCCAAAATGATACGGAATCTCTGCAACGGAATCTCTGCATCTTAAGGTTTCTGAATTTACTAATGAAATGATGGTTAGAATTCAAAAATTTGCTTCAAGAACAACTTTGACGTTTATTTTGTCGACAAATATGTCATAAAAGTTATAGTTTGATAGTTGAGGAACACTTTTGTGCCAAGATTTGAKTAAGAAGTTTTTTGTGGATTTTTTTCAGTGTGCTGTTCAAAAATCTGCATTTTCTACCAAGTAATAATTAGAAAGGTGTGCAACTCCGGCCGCCAAAATTCACAACGACCCTCACTCGGAGCTCAATATTCCACAAATGAATTACTGACYAAACAGATCGAAAATCTAAAATCGATGACCGATTGTCAAATAAATTGCCTTTCGCTTAAACTTCTTTTCGCTTTTTTTTCTTTTTCTTTTTCTTCCTTTTTTTGTTTTTTTGTTTTTTTTTTGTTTTGTTTGCCCCGTGCGACAAGAAATAATTTTTGAAAGTTTGAAAAGCAGGCTACGGGATTCGCAGTCATGGTTTGCAGCGATCACTCAGAGGAGGAGGTAGCACGAAGTTTCGTTACTTATGTTTGCAAATTCATCCTTAGCGTGGASAAAATGCTTCCGAGGAAATGACCATTTTCAAGAAGTTATGATTTTGAAAGGCCAGAGTTTTCAAGGCATCGTCGTGGCTCTGCATTGTCTGCTAAATACTGGAATATCCTGGAATATCATTTAAAGGACTTYTGTTTTTTTCTTTAAATATTTTCCCTCTGCTTTCTAGGTATTTGGCATCATTTTCTGTAATCGAAGATCAGTTCAAAGGGATAAACTACTCATTTGATGTCTTTTAAGAACTACGCGCCTGATCAATAGCTTACGACTTTTAAATTCTTTTGCAAGCTGGTCCGATTCTGATCATGACACGGTTAGGTAGTTATAATTTATTTGAATTTTGATTTTGTTTTTAAGACTAATAAAACAATGAATATAAATTTCTGACGGAAACGCATGTATTTAGACCTTCGTTCAGATCGATGTTGTATTACTGTTTCAACTTGTAGCTCACTTGTAAATGGAAATTTTCTTTTAGAAAATATCTATTAATTTCAAAATATTAGATTAAAAAAGGAAATTATAACGAGTCAAGCAATAATGCGAGAAGTCTTGAGCAAAGATGTGCCTGACTTACTGATTAATGAAACTACGAGATTTAGCAACATTTCTAGCCTAACTATAGGCAAAAATTCAATCTCGTTACCACAAGCCGCTTGGGGACAGAACAAGAATGCGAAAATCCGAACTCGGGTTTGACGTACTGCTGGTAATTGGATTTGAGGATAGTTTTCGATGATTATGAAATTATGGCATCTCTGTCTTTCGATACTTTCCAACTTATTTCCACTTTCCCTCTGGATTGTTAGAGACTCAGATAAACCGTCCCAACCAGATATCCCGGTCTATCCTGCCCCCAGGGTCTTCAATTTCTAATGATATTCAAATAAAGGTTAAAATGCTAGTGCGACGGTTTGCATTGAAATTCAGCCCCGCTCTCCCCTGTTAGTATCAATGCTGAATTCAAAACCTGGGACAGGTTTTCAATCGAAATTCAAACCCGACATCAAGCAATAGAAATAGGGCGTGGTTGGTTTTTATGTACCTAAAAAAAAAACGTTACCAAAGCAATGAAACATTTTTCCGTATTTGTTTGTAATTAGGTTGATACGGATGAGTCTATCCTTTTATCCAGTAAGCACCTCTTACCATACAGCTGGCGGGTCGCTCAATCTCTGAAAGCGGAACCCAGTCTTCATGTCTGTTTTGAAAGAGAGGGTGACTGGCGCTGGTCTGAGCCTTTTGATGTTGACAGTGTTGGCATAAGCTCACGTACCATTCATCACAAGYTACACAGCGCTACACTCTTAATTGACGTAAGATCACTGTCCGGGGTGCAAAAGCAGGTGAGGAGACTCCTCTTAGGATCTCAATTTATTCGGGGCATTTTCACTGTAGAGTGTTCTTGTGACCTTTTGGCTTTTTGGATTCACAACGTCAATAGTGCATTTCGGGCTTGGTATGAAACATGCAACAAAACCTTCATGTCCAACCTTTTTTGGAAAAGCTGTCTTTTTGAAACTTTTAAACATCGTAGTTTATATCGGTAGAGTGCAAGTGCAGACCATATATCCGTTAAAAACTTCGTAAGAAATTCGTAAGGTCTAAGTAAGTTCGGTAGACCGCAGACCTACCAAACTTTGCACTAATTTGTACAATTTTGTTAACTTTTTCATGGATATATGGTATGTACTCCACTATTTGAAAGCAATACCAAATCATTAGGTTTTGCACTCAAATCATTAAAAAGTAATTTAGAATTATCGGCATTGTAAATTTTCATCTTGTGTTTACATATACCATTTAAACTCCATAAATCATTCAACTTTCACTCTGATCCTGGGTGGTAGCACTCCCGAAACATTTCAGTTAATATAAGAATAAGTTTGTTTTCACTTTAAAGTTAAACAAATCATAGACGACTTTCATAACTCAGTTTTTTCAGATAGAGAAAATGAAGCCTTTTTAACAGAAACTATTAATGCTATCTGAGAAAATACTTCACAAAAACTATTTTCAGAAAAATTTGTAGAATTTGACTGCATACCAAAGAAGTTATTAAAGAACGAAAATAGAGAGTTTTGTATGTATTTATCACTGGAAGCCTTGGTGGCCTCGTTTTGGTGCATTTTCAAAACTTCAAATGCTCACATCTTTTAATGGATTTATTAATTTAAGTAGAAACTCACACGCCTTATCTAAATCAACAAGATCAATGATTTAAAAGGGTTTTCACTCCAAAAACATTGATTTTTAATGTTTATACAAATTAGCAGCAGCCAGTTATGAAAGCCGTGTATTAGAGTAATGACGTAACCTAATAAACATATTGTCATATTTTTACAATATTGTACAAAGGTTTAGAAGGGTCCATTGAACGCTCTGTAAATGGCATAATTCAATGAAAAACAAGTTATTTTTATTTATGGCCGGTTATCTTTGTACTATTTTGTCCTTAGGTAATTTTCCGTGGTGGTCTTCAAATTGAAAGTCGTCTAAGCACTGGTGTTGATTTACAGATTCTTAAAAGCCCCGATCTTGGGTCTCCTCACAAGGAAAAAGCATCCTTTCAGGTACTTTGTGTGTTCAGGAGCTCCCTCATAACAATTTAAGGGATGAAATAGACATTATTCGTGGTGTGACAATGTTTTCCCAATTCAGCGTGTCGAACCTATAGAGGATTCTTTTTCTTTTGTTTTCACTATTCGAAACATTCATGAGTATCCCAAAGGATACGAAAGAAATAACGATGATATCCCGACGAGTTTCAAAGCAATAGCTGTTTATTCCCTATCTATAGAGGTTTGTCACGTTCAATTGGGAAAACATGGTCACACCATGAATAAGGTATATTCCGGCTTCTTCTTCGGGTATCGGACAAAGCTTACGTAATTTAATAGAAACAACCAAGAGAGCATAAATAAGAGAGGGAAACTCCCTAATAACGCGCGCGCCATGTAAATTCCTGGATATGCTATCTTGAGTAACCGGATGCAGTTTAAATTTCGCATTACCCTACTCCCGTGCGTCATCAACTTGCGCGCATGCGCTCTTTCCGTTTCGTTTTAAGTGATCAAAACAATAAAAAATAAAACTCAATAGACTGGACGGCCTGTGAACTTTCTTGTCATTTTGGCCCGAACAAGAAAAACGTTCCAAAAATGCATATTTCATATAGTTTTTTTTTTACGTGACAGTCCTAAAATGTCAAAATACATTTTTATTTGTAAAACTCAACGAAGGCAATTTCTAAAAGGRTCTATAAAATAGAACCATATAGTCTAATAGTTTAATACAATTCTGTTTATTAGAACAATATAAAAATTCGTTATGTTTGTTTTGTGTCCAATTTATACGATTTTTCATTGTCTACGATAGTTTATTAAAACACCTTTTATCAGTATTTCATAAATATAGTGTAAGTTACGTGTTCGAAGAAAGTTACTCATATTTCTTCCTTAGATTTGGTTTTATGATTTTTTTGGACGGAGCAGTTGATTTTCACTATTTTTTCTTCGAAAATTGTACAAACGCATGTCATTCCGGAGTGATTAYCTCAAAAACAAGCTCGRGACACCCCATTTTTCTTTGCAATTTTGAAATCAGCATTAAATTTCAGGTTAAAGAAGTTTCAATTTTCAATTTTCTGTTTATTATTTACCAAAGTAGTCAGCCACCGTAATACAGGAGAYACTTCCCTCTAGATCTATTAACTAAGGCTTCAAACTAGGAAAAATTTCTAAAAGCGGAAAAAATGCTTGGAAATGAAATGTGTATATTTCCCGAGGGACCAGACATCAAGTGTTTTGTTATATAGCAATTGAGAAATTGAGAAGTCAGTTTCCAAATCCTTTTTTTCAATGAAAGTCTGGGTTTCTTCTGTAGAAACTCTAGAAAATCTGTCTTTTTGCTTCAAGCTCCATTCGTAAGGAAAATTCCAGCTGAAAATACTTGCTTCCGCTTCGTTGTTTGTGATTCCAGCAAATAATCACGCTAGCTTTTTTTCACGTTCTGATCACGTTTACTGGTTTATTTTCACCATTCTTGTCACGTGCGACTTGTTACATTATGTACTTATTGACTGAGTGGAACAAGGGAGCACGGCAAAAATGAATTTATTGATTGGACTTCCTGTGGTACATATTTTTATTGATTGGTCTTCCCGTATTGTATGGACGTGCATGCGGTTTCTTCAAAGTCGCGCGGGCTCATAAGTAAACAAATATGGCGGATGATGTCGCTGATGATACCAATAAATGACAAGGAGGTCATGCCACCCTGTACGGACCGAGAGCAGCGAGCAATAAGCATTTTATCATATGACACAATTTTAGTCATAAAAAGGCTGAAAAATCCTGCCTAAAAWTACGGCCCGCTCACATCAAACCCCCCATCCCATCACGTGACTTTTTATGGTTTTATGATAGCGCGCGAGCAGGGTCGTACGGTTCATTTGATATTTTCGGATACAATTTGAAAGCACTACGTATGGACGYGAATGTTTTTGAATCCGCAACGAAAATGTTGCTAATTCAAAAAATATATTGGTACACGTAATAAACTTTTTCACAACCGATTTCATCGTTTAGATCCATGAAGACATTTCGTTGGCACCAGTCACAACCCTTCCATCGTACATCGTCTCCCATGCCGGCCTTTTAGGCATGCGTATTAGAATCCCTAACACGACAACGTGGAGTGAGGCACTTCCTTTGGATAACGTAGGAGGTGATGCTAAGGCTCAACACTTAATTRTAAAGGTAAGTTTTGAATATTGTGGTATTTTGACAGGGAACCTAAGCTTGCTTTTCTTGGATGGGGCTAACAATAAATTCGTGTAAAGGGAGAACAATTTGCAATAAACATAAACATGGCTAAAACAAAGTCATCAATATCCTCCGATTTATAATTATTGGCCAAGAAAAACGCAAGAAGTGTTCAAAACCTACCTCATCAAAACTAAATCCTCACAATCTTTTAAGGAGCCTATGAAGCTTAACTCAATATTTTCAGTATACATGAAATGAATAGTTGAATTGTTAAATATTTTTCATATGATGTGAGTGATGCATTTTTGAGATAACAGTGTGTATTACAAACAGAATTCCATAACTAAAGTGTCCATCTTGTATTCTCTTGTACTCCGACGAAGGACTAGCGTCCGAAACGTCAGTAAGTTTTTTCATCTTTTTCAAGGTGTATAATTTACCTTTTTATCATTACTGTTTCATCTTGTATTAGTGTGTTTCGGGAGTGAAACACAACCATCGTATTCCTCTAAATTACACTCGCTGCGCTATTTTGGTTGTGGCTATTAAAGCCGGCAAGCGCAAAACAACTAGACGAAAAGAACATAACAATGGCGCTGTATAGTACTTTTCATAGTTTTTATACGCAAGGTTGGCAGAACACGAGAGATGTATTTTTAATAGAAGCACGACGACGTAGCGGAGTACTTCTGGACACTTCTCGAGTGTTCTGCCAATCCCCAAGTGCTTTGTGACACCACACAGCACATCAAGCATTTTTTAATTTCTTTTATAAAAATACAAATAACAATTTATACGAATAACAAATAACAATTTATACGAATTAAAAAGAGCGCGTGCTGTGTGAGTTTAAAGTACGCGCTCTCAACCAATCAGAACACGAGAATTGTAATAGTGATTTTATAATTATRATCAAAACAACTAACGGAAAGAGCGCGCCCACGTTGACATCAGCTTATCTGTCTATCCTCAGTGCACGAGAAATTTATAAGTTATCGTAAAAAATATATTGATAAAATTGGCATAGTAAACTTCGGAGCTTCCGGGTCATCGGTTAACATCAGCTATAGTTGTCATTGTTTTGGCTTATCGTTTTGAACACAATTTTTGGGAGACCTCAAAGAACAATCAGAACTCGTGTAAGAATGAATTAACTTGGAACTGAGTCGCGGTTTACTATATATAATCGTGCAGCCACGCCGGGAGACTAGAACAAGAAATCTTGCGCTGATTCGCACACTATCTTGACCAGATTTAAAGTCGGGCTGTACGCAGGCCAACCTCGGGATGTATATGGCTTATTACCTACACACGGGATTTTAAAATTTTTGTTTGTTTGTTTGTTTACACCTAATACTCCAGTTTCGAGTTCTCAGTTGATTAAGGGTTTAGTCTCGATTTTGTGCAGCAGAATATTGATGTGTTCAGTGAAGGTCCGAGGAATTTGAAAGTGTTTGTATTGTTRAAGTTGWGYATTMTTTACTTTACYGTTGGTATTTGTGAATATTTTAGACTTTGAGACGAGGCCTATTATTTATTTCAGTTAGTTTTTATTTTTATATGAAAACGTTTCTGCAATTAGGTGTATCTTTGTTTTGTTTTGTTTGTTTTTTTGTTTTGTTTTTTGTGTGTGTGTGTGTGTGTTTTTGTTTGTTTGGTTGTTTGTTTTTTTTTTGGTTTGATTGAAAATTAAGAAAAAATTTATAATATAGTAATTATTCCAAACCAATCCATAGCTTCTTGGAGTAAAAACTTTCCAGACGTTCTATTTATGGTACAGCCTAGAAAAGACGATGTTTGAACAAATACAGGTAACTAGTCTGCCAAATTAACCGCATATTCGTGATTTTTCTAAGCCTCTTATTTAATCCTGGAGAGATTTTCAGTTTTTCCACAAGAAAGGGCAGGAAAAAAAACGAAGCTCAATCGTATTTTTCATTTTGGTTGTGAATCTTGAAGGCTAAAAGAAGTTTGAAGTGCGACGGTTTTTTCTCAAACGTATGGATCCTTGTTTCCCCCTTTTTTATTGCAAGCGCGCTACGCGGTTCATAATTTACGGTTTGGATCTAACTATGTATTTCCGTTGTTTTTTTTTTACTGCTCTATCCATTGAATATTTCGTGTCTCCTCAGTTCCTAAATGTTTATAAATATATAATTCCCATCCGGTGATCCCGGACTAGTATTTATTATTAATGAGTCTTTTTTACTTTTTTTGTTATTTAGATATCTCTGTCACCTTTATTTATCATGCGTAGTCACTTACCCGATCCGATTCTACTGAACATCTTCTCATCCAAAACAAATAGCGAAGCATCACTGGAGATGATTGGTAGAGGTCATGAAGAGCAGTTACTACACCTACCACCAAATACTTGGCATCATTTGACATTCCAGTTTGATAAATGTAGCAAAATGTCTGATCCTTCGGTACCGCTTAATTCAACTCTTATTGATCTAGCTAACAAAGTCAATCCAAACATGTGTGACAAGGTTGATATACCGTTGAACACCTTATGGCCATACTGTGGTACCATACTAAAAGAAAAGTAAGTTGTTTGTTATAGTGTCTTCCTCTTTTAACTTTACTGAGGTGTTTTGTAGTAACTAAACAAACTGCCTAGTTTCTAYGCAAGTTTTTCTCAGACTTCACATAGCATTGAAATGAGGCAGCAAGAAAATTTGATAGTGCTATTTAAATTAGCCTCACGTGCTAGTGAAATTGAGTCAAAGTATGTAATTAATAATAAGGACGTGGAATAAATGATATGTGATGTTATTCTGAATTCTATAATTTCACATCCCCATAATACTTTGCGTCTCTGGGTGGTAACGAGATGGTAAAAACCCACTTATCTTGTTTAAGGCTGATCAGACAATGTTGACAATACCTTGTTTAGTCCAAAAATAAAATGAAGAAGTAAAAACAAAAAACAAAAAAAAACAGAAAAAGATAGAAGCTTGAAGACGTTTAAGGTAAATTTTAAACATTTTTTCGTAAGGCAATACATTTTCTGTAAGACCAAAACTCTTGATATTCTGTACACGCAGAAATAACTTGGAATAAACTGATAATCAGTATTGTACAGATAAAAACAGGTATARTATAAATTCGATTAAGAAACCTTTCAATTTGGGACAATGTTTTGATTGGTTACCCCCCAAAGACGCAAGGCATTATTGGGATGTGAAAGTAGAGAATTGGTCAATGAATATTCCATACAGGAGGGAAATTTCTTGTGCCCATACGTTAACAAGTTGTGTCAGTTAAACCAAAGCGGTTTCAGGCCATTAAATGAGAGTTAAGTGCGGGTTTTAAAACAGTTTTATTCTCTACTTTCACATCCCCATAATMCTTTGCGTCTTTGGGGGTTAACCAGAGAGTAAAAACTCACTTATTTTGCTGAAGGCTGATCAGACAATGTTGACAATACCTTGTTTGGTATCCAAAAATAAAATGAAGAAGTAAAAAACAGAAAAAAATAGAAGCTTGAAGACATTTAAGGTAAATTTTAAACATTTTTTCGTAAGTCAAAACATTTTCTGTAAGACCAAAACTCTTGATGCAAATATAACTTGGAATAAACTGATAATCAGTATTGTACATTTAAAACCAGGTATAATATAAATTCAATTAAGAAACMTTTCAATTTGGGACAGTTTTTTTATTGGTTACCCCCCAAAGACGCAAGGCATTATGGGGATGTGAAAGTAGAGAATTGCTACATCCAAGGCCGGCTTTGGACCTAACTGTTACCAGAATCTTTACAAAGACTTCAATTTTTTTAAAGAAGAACGTAATTGGACTTCAATAGATTGTTCTAAAGCAGTTTCATTTATGATGAACATTCCTGTTGACAAAATAGAATCTTGGTTTTTGCCAGCAATGTTTTCGTTTCTTAATTATTTCAACTATGCAATGAAGAGTATCTTCTGCGGAAGTACGGACAATGATAAGTACGCAAAGCCATCTTGGATCGCAAGGCATTATGGGACGTGCAGGGGGCAAATAAAACTTTGTCTAAGTAATGACATCCATTGATATTAAAGAGGGACGAAAATTGGTCATATTTATCAAGCTCTTCAAAAACTCGCTGTATCTTTGTTTTTACATACTTCCAAAAAGAAGTTCTCCAAATTTGCGTTTTTCTTCATGTCCGCCATTATTCAGTTGTTGCTTCTTTCTCCCTCGGAGAAGTCGGAGTTGAACCATGTCGTGACTTACTTATTAAGATGGCACATCATTTACCTTTACCCATAAAGAAAGACAAACACTCCAAACTCGATATATATTTCCCGTCATCTCTGATTTGTTTGTATTTTCGAAGTAGTCCATTTATTACCAGCGATCAGGCCGTTACGGTGGCCACCGYATTTTCGAAGTAGTCCATTGATTACCAGCGATCAGTCCATTACGGTTTAATGGCCGAGCACATGCTCGTGCAAATTTCTCTCATGTTAGATATGTCACGTTACCATCGTATTTTCTACCCAGGTTACTAGAGGCTTTCTTTTTTAATCTGAAATCGTAACAACTACAATCGCATTAAGGCACGTATTTTTCGTCATAGGGATGAAATTTCTTCCGTATCAGCTGCTCACTCACCTTTTGTACGCTACGTTGTCTCTCGTGGAAACGACAAGGATGCCAACAGTTATCAAAAAAGGGCAGAAATAAGCCCTAAAGGTAGGCCTTCATACATTCTTTATTCTTCGTTTTAACGTAACGTTGTCTGGTGGATTTTAACAAAACACTTCTCATTAGATCCTTTTGTACCTGTCCACCAGCATAGCTGCCATGTCTTTGTCTTTTGATCCTCTTGGGAATAGTTGAAAACAACCAATTGTGCGTTTTACATTTTATTACTTCCATCTTTTTCACAAYATATATTAATTCGTCCTTACTTATCTCGCTTCTTATTGGCCGAGAGCCTTCATCCAGTCCCTGATATCGTTTGTGGACTTGGCATGATAACTGTATTATCTGGGTTTTTTT